GTGAGCCATCACACCTGGCCCCCGGCCCGAATTCTTAACTTTGCAAGTAGGATTGAGAAACAGCTCTGTCCTGTGAGACCCACACTTCTGCTGTGGACCAGGCCACCGTGCTGAGCCTGGACACCACTGTGTCACTGCCTTCTACTTGTTCTATGTCGATTATTAATGTTCCCATAGGGATCAGAAACCCTTTGGTGTTAGGAGCTGACGGGTCACTTGTTTCTGACTACCCTGAGGCTGAATCATGCTCAGCTTGTGGGGAATGCGTTAAGAGCACCTGAGTCTTTCTGTGGCTGTGACCCAGGAGTACATGAAAAATATGAAATGTTCTGAAATTTTTAAAAAGTCATTGTAAAAGCTCACACAGTCATTATTGAAGTTAGTCTCACAAAGTGAAGGATAGTTTTTGTTTATTGGTGACAATTTACGAAATAGTTGCCAGCTTAGCATCACATATGACAGATGTGGCCAGCAGGCTCCAGACCACACCGAGCTGCATGCTGGCCCCATCTACAAGCCTGGGGAAGTGTGGCTGGGCTCCTCAGCCTTCACAACTTGTGGAGGTTGGTCAACTCACATGAAAATCAGTCCTCTCTTTCCCTGGCACTCCCTCCCTCTTATGTTGATAAAGTGGGTTTCCAAGCCAGGTGGCACAGGGGATACTAGATTGGTGTGTGTTGGGCAATTCTCTGGCGGTTCTTGACATCTTCAAGGATGCTTGTCTAGGCAGAGGACAGATTAGTTTCCTGACTACGGTAATAAAGGTCATCGTCTACCTGTAAGGCAGAGGTTGGATGAGTTGGTTGGACGAGAAGCCCGTCTTGTAACTCGAGGGGTTTCCTGAGCTTGGGGTTCCTCAGCTAGGATACAGATGATACATCATAAATTGGGTTGTCACACATCACCTCCTTGGGGGACTTGGGGGGTGGCACATGGAATTCCCAGAGTAATACAGTCCTTTGCCTTTGACCCAGGAGTCTGCCAGCATCCGGGAAGCTGTGGCAGGCTAGGTCATGAGCTTGCAAGCAGGGTAAAATCTCAGGCGTTTCACAGTGTCTCAGCCTTCGGGGCAGCTGGGCAGGGTCTAGGCATGCCAGCCCCTGGGCTGCCTCCAACAGCCCCGGCTTCCTCTGGGGCTCCTTGAAGGGCAGGCTTGCACAGTGATATGGTTTGGCCCTGTGTCTCACCCAAATCTCATCTCGATTTGTCAGGGGAGGGACCAGGTGGAGTTGATTGGAGCATGGGGGTGGTTTCCCCCATGCTGTTCTCGTGATAGTGAGTGAGTGAGCTCTCACGAGAGCTGATGGTTTTAAACTGTGGCACTTCCTCATTCTCCGACTTGCTTCTCTCCTGCTGCGTTGTGAAGGTGTCTCCTTTCCCCCTTGCCTTCTGCCACGATGGTCAGTTTCCTGAGGCCTCCCCAGCCATGCGGAACTGTGAGTCAATTAAACCTCTTTCCTTTATAACGAAGCAGTGTGAAAACGGACTACTACAGACAGAGTGGGATAGACTGCACCCCTCTGTGGTCTCACAGGCTGGGAAGGGAGATGTGGGGCATGCACGGTATGGAGAAAGTTAGTAAAAATAACTGGCCCTGTGGACCAGAAGAGACCTGGGCCAACTAGGTTTTGCCTCTGTCAAATATAAAATCCACGTAAAGATACCTAACCATTCAGCCCTCATTGGGGGCCCTCCCGATTACTTTTCACCAAGACCCAAACTTGGCTTGGTTGTCCCAGTCCTCAGTGGTAGCAGTAACACCTGGAACTTGTTGCTCCCATTGCAAGGTTGAGCAATAGCACCTGTCCTGCCCATCTCACAGAGAAGCAACCTGTGGCACAGCTGGAGTTTGTTCCAGGTGCGCGGAGCCCAGCACACAGCCCCGCTGCAGAGGTTGGAGGGAGGTGCAGAGGCAGTGTGGGCTCTTGGTGGATTCAGCTCCAGGCAGTAGCCCAAACATTTACTTCACATGTGTCTGATTCCTGTGTCCATTTGTAGCTGACAGGCCAATCTGGAGGCATCTCAGCTGGCTGCCTGTGACTGTTGTAACATTTCAAATGCTTTCTGCAAAATAGGACATTGTTATTTTAAAATACTTGATTGGTATTTTTCTTTTCTCCTTTTTTTTCCCCCTTTTTTTTTTTTTTTTT